GTCATTTTCTCCTTTCTTCCTTCCCCTCCTCCTTCTCTTCCTCCGCCTCCTCACTAGCAGGATTCACTAGTCCCTCTATATATTCGGATGATGCATTCTCAATTGCAAAATATTTCCCATTCATTATCTTGCTCCATCCTCAAAACAACTGTGGTGTGGGCAGCATTGCTCCTATTTTCTGAACAAGGAAACTGAGGCTCGGAGTGTGACTGGCAGTGAGGGGTGTGGTAGGATGCTCTCCGGGCTAGGCTCCAGTCCCAGCTCAGCCACTAGCTTGCTGGGCCACCTCAGATGAGCCACTCACCCTCCCTGGACCTCAATGACCCCCCGTGATACAATACAAGGGGTCCTACTCTACAGTCTCCATTGGCCCAGATTTCCATTCCTGGGACTGGGACTGCATGGGAACCTGCTGGTCAGGAGGTAGAGCAGGGCCTGACCACACTCTGAGCCTGACCCTGCCTTTTCATCCCCAGGAAAGGAGCAGGGCTGGAGGGATTGGGAACAGTGGGGTGTCATATGGGGGGGGGGGCGTATTCCAGACCCAAATGCCTCCTAGACCCTGGGCTGGAGCAACATTGATGGTAGGAAGTGGCATTGCCCGGTGCTGGGCTGCCTGGGCACCCAGGCTGGAGAGCCGCCTATCGAGCACTGTGGCCTCCATCAGCCTGCACAGCTCACTGCCTCTCAGAAATGTCCTCCCCAGAGCCCTGTGTGGCTCTGAGCTCCAGGGGGGACCCAGATTCTGTCCCAGCTTCTGGAACCCTAATATGTGAGTTTGGGGAGACTTATTCTCCTCAGAGTATAAATAATACTATCAATAATAGCTGGTATTAATTGATGGCTTACTGTGGGCCAGGCACTGCTTTGAGCACCGTCTGTACATTATTTTATTTAATCCAAACCCCAATCCGATAAGGTCATTATTGTCCCCTTTTTACAGAGCTGGATGAGAAGGGGTTCACAAAGAGGGACGAGGGGGTGCTGGAATGGAAGTCCGTAGCTGCCTGTCAACCCCAGGTTCACTCCATCACCCAGGGCCAGGGTCCCACTGCCACTGGAACCGCCCCCTGCTCTAGGCCGTGGGAGCTGCTACTTGGCTGGGGTTCCAGGGAGGGGGTGACACTTAATGACTTATGGGTGATTGGCTGCAAGAAAGCAAGCACAGAAGAGAGAAAACCTCTGTGCCCCGGAAGGTCCGCGTCACAGGCCAACCAGTTGTTTTCCATCCCCTTAAAGAAGAAATAACTGGAGGTCAGGTGGCAGGGAGAACTCCCCAGTCACTAGAAGGGGTAGCACTGACATCCTCTCCCCTGGTCGGTTGTGGGTGAAGCATTGCCCCTGCCTTGGCCAACAGTTTGAGTCAGAGAGAGGGGTTTTGGCAAATCTACAGAATCCCCATTCACAGAGCCTACGGGGGCCCGGGGAGGCCCTGGGGCAACAGCCCTGGGGTTAACCAAGGGGACAAACACGGAAAACCAGGGGACGTCAGTCCTTATCTGGAGCTCATTAATGGGGAACATTAGTCAGCTGTGAAGGCCAAGATGGGGTGATAGGCATGTGGTGGGCAGGGGTGGGGAGTGGGGGCAGGGGGAAGCCATAGGGGTGAAGAAGTATTAATCTAAACTCCACCTCCACCCCACGTGTCCAAATGCTGGATGGAAGGACCCTGTAAATGCCCATGACCCAGCCTCCCCAGAAACAGAAAGAGAGAGAGAGAGAGAGAGAGAGAGAGAGAGAGAGACCCAAGCCTCCTGCCCTGAGACAGCGGGGCCAGCTCTGAAAAGCTCGGCAGCATGTGGGAACTCCGGTCCATAGCCTTCTCCAGGGCCGTGTTTGCAGAGTTCCTGGCCACACTCCTCTTCGTCTTCTTTGGCCTGGGCTCGGCCCTCAACTGGCCGCAGGCCCTGCCCTCTGTGCTGCAGATCGCCATGGCCTTCGGCTTGGCTATCGGCACCCTGGTGCAGGCGCTGGGCCACGTGAGCGGGGCCCACATCAACCCTGCAGTGACGGTGGCCTGCCTGGTGGGCTGCCACGTCTCCTTTCTCCGGGCGGCCTTCTACGTGGCTGCCCAGCTGCTGGGGGCCGTGGCAGGAGCCGCTCTGCTGCACGAGATCACACCAGAAGGCATCCGAGGGGACCTGGCCATCAATGCGGTGAGTAGCCCGAGCTGCACCTCCTCCCCGGGGGCGGAGGGGATGGAGGGAACAGGTCTGGGTGAGGGCCTGGGTGCGGAGAGAGATGGAGGCTGCGGGGGTGGGGGTAGAGGTGCTGGAACCAGGAACACAGCTGCCATAGGAGACCCAGGTGGAAGGAGCAACAGGGCCAGAGCTGAAGCCCATACGATACCCCCGGCGCTGCTGGTACCGTCTGCCCTCCCTCGTGGAGGAAGAGCCTGCATTACAGTGAGGCCTGGGCTAGGACTCTGGAGGACAGGCTCCCAAAGCAGAAGTGCTTTCCGAGCTGGGAGGAACCTCAGAGTGAGTCCCGTGGGGAGAAGGGCCCAACTCTCCTTCCGCATGCACTGGCCTCAGGCGAGGGGCTCCTCACAGCCTCGCACTGACACCTCGCAGGAGCGCTGCAAAGTAGGGATGGGCACCTCCTTCCTTGAGAATATGCAAACTGAGGCTCAGAGAGGGCAAGTGCCACAGCCAGACTCAGGCCAGGCTTGGCTGCAGAGCTCACGGTCTTCCGGCCTGAGCCATCACCTAAGTCTTGTTTTGCAAACAAGGAAACCGAGGCTCAGAGAAGGGAAGCACAAGCCAAAAGTTCTACAGTGTGTCAATCCCAGAGAACGTGCCAGAACCCCGGGGAAGCAAAGGGGCACTGTCTCTCCGGACCCTGGAGCCTGTGCGCTAACTGCTGACACCATGAATGGTGGCTAGCCGGGCACTTGGGTGCGTTGGGAGCTGAGGGTGATGCCGCAGCCCCCTCCATGCCCCCACCCGCTCCTCTCGTGGGTCTGGGCAAGGCCTGGGCATCTGAGGGCGTGAGTGGGAGGAATGGTCTGTGCCCCTCATCAGAACCCTGACTCTGCCCCCCACCCCCACCCCCAGCCCAAGCCCAGGCAGCAAGTGCTTCTTTCAGGCCTCAGTTTCCTGCATTTTGCAGCCTGATCTGTCCCTGGGCCACTAGGTTAGAGCTCTGGTGTCTCTGAAGAGTGCTGCACAGTCCCTGTGGCCACCTCCTCCTCGGCATGAGTGGCCCTTTCTCATACGAGGGGCACAGGTATCCCAATCGGGGAGCTTCTCTCTTCTTACTTCTTCCGAATGGACAATGCGATGGGGCCGGGGGCTCAGGGCTGAGAAAAGGCTAGGATGGCCTTGGCAGGGGACAGACCGAGGAATGTGACCATTTCCATTGAGGACAAAATTGGTTTAGTTGGCAGCGAGGAGAGGTTCACTTAGACGGAAAGAGCAACTTCCTGAGAACAGGGCCAAGAAAGTCTCAGAATGTGACTGAGGAATCTCCTCTAATAGCAGGGCGATGGGGTTGCTAAGGGGGCAGGGAGACTCTCAGTCTTACTCCTCCATCATGTCAGAGTTGACCGGAGCCCTCAGAATGGAAGGGTCTGGGAGGTTTCCCCCAAGGTTATTACTACCTTGGGGAACTGAGGAGAACCCCTGCCTGGCTGGAGGGACACAGCAGTGGGGCTGACTTACCCCGAGGCTAGAGGGAGCCAGAAGACTTTAAAGTTGTCCCAGGTGTCTTCTGAGGTCCCTAGAAAGGCTAGCCTGGCCACCAGGGAGTTACCATTGATGTGCACCTGCTCTGTGCCAGGCCAGATATCATCTCATTCTTGGTATAATGCGGTAAGGTGAAATCTGTGACCCTCTACCATGAGTGGTAAACTGAGGCTCAGCATTCAACTGATTCAAGTCACAGAACCAGTAAGTGTCAGTACCTGGAAATGGACCCAGAGCCATCTGACACCGAACCCATGCCCACACCGTCTCCCTTCGAGCAGCCATTTACCAGCAGGAATGGGGCTGGGGCTCTGCCACTGTCAATTCCAGTCCTCACACAGTCCTCCTGAATTTTGTTATCCCCATTTTACAGAAGGATAAACTGAGGCTGAAGTAAATAGGGGCCCATGGTAAGTCAGAGGCCTCCAAAGTGTCTGCCTTTAAAGTGCTTTTCACTGTCTCCCATTACAGGCTTTGACATTGGGTCACAGGGGATTGAGAATAGGCCCTAGGAGACCCAACAGTGACAGCCCAATGGCTAGGATCCAGGGGTCGGGTTTCAAGGGCTGAAGAAGGGGCATGGGAGGTGAGAGCTGTCACAGCTCTACCTGGTTCAGTGCCCAGCCCCAAAGGGCAGGGTGTAGGGCACAGAATGACAAAACCCAGAGAGAAATCCAGTTCTGGGTGTGGTCCAATTATGAAATTACCTCTTTGCTTGGCCTCAAGTTCTCTCATTGCCCAAGGCAGGGTCTGCTGGGGTCACGGGCATCCCACATGGGTATGGAGGCATCACAACGTAGGGCTCCAGCACCCTCACTTCAACTTCCATGGTATGTGCAGAGAGCAAATCCCAGGGCAAAACTGAGGCCTGGAATGCAGTGGGAAACAGACAAGGCAAAGGGAACAGTCAAAGGTTAGAGGAAAGAGTCATATGCTAGACTTGTGGGGGGTATGGGGCACACTAGGACCATCCCCAGACCCTAGTCCCTGTCCCTGGGAGCCCTTTGACCATAGGCCTCTGGTTACATCAGTATCTTATGGCCTAGGAAGAGAGGAAGGCCTTCCTGTTACCTGGCCTAAACTTCCTGCTGTATTCAAAACCGTTTATCTTCTTGCTCTTCAAGAAACAGAAATTTTAGCTCAACCGATATGGCTCAGTGGTTGAGCATCGATCTATAAACCAGGTGGTCATGGTTCAATTCCGGTCATGGCACATGCCCGGGTTGTGGGCTCGGTCCCAGGTGAGAGGCGTGCTGGAGGCAGCCAATCAATGATTCTCTCTCATCATTGATGTTTCTATCTCGCTCTCCCTCTCCCTTCCTCTCTTAAATCAATAAAAACATTTTAAAAAGAAAAGAAAGAAAGGAAACAGAAATTCTGGATTCCCCATCCTTTTCCGCTCACATTGTAGGCACACAATCCCAGCCCCTGAATCTAAAGGGCTATGGAGCATTTTTCCTACCTCTGACTGGGGAATCACGGCCGTCTTTGAGTCCATCCCTCTGCCTTTGGGCCACGGGCCCAGGAGGAAGCCATCAGTCGTTTGGACTAAGGTGGCTGGTGAGCCCAGGTGTTCTGGCTCCCAGCCAGCCCAGAGGCCGCTCTGGAGTCGTGGCAGGACGATGGAGCCAGTGCGGGAGCGTGCTCACTGTTCCCCGCTCCGTCCTCAGCTCAGCAACAACACGACAGGTGGCCAGGCGGTCACGGTGGAGCTCTTCCTGACCCTGCAGCTGGTGCTCTGCATCTTCGCCTCCACCGATGAGCGTCGTGGAGACAACCTGGGCACCCCTGCCCTGTCCATTGGCTTCTCCGTGGCCCTGGGCCACCTCCTTGGGGTAGGTCATGGCCTCAGCCTCACTGTATACACAGACTCTCCCCCAAAGAAACAACCAGAGACCACTCTAGAGACAGATACACAGAATCCCCCCCAAAATGGCAGACAAAGACCCCAGAGGGACAGATACAGACTCCCAGGAAGGACAGACACACCCAGAGGGTCTGACTGCCAGATACCTAAGGCCAGATATCACTCCAGCCTCAAAGGAATAGAGCCCAGTAAACAGAACATGAACTTCATTGTCCGCGGGGTGGACTCCCTTCAGGTTGAGCTCAGGGTCTGGAGAGGGGCACAGGACGCCCTGCCCAGTCCTCCCCCTTTCTCTCCCTCCCCTGTCTCCCACTGCAGATCCACTACACCGGCTGCTCCATGAATCCTGCCCGCTCCCTGGCGCCCGCTGTTGTCACCGGCAAATTTGATGACCACTGGGTAAGGGCAGAACCCTCCTGGCCCTCCCTCCCCTCCCCCAGAAACCCATCTCAGCCCGGGAGGGAGCAGACGGGAGAGGGAGGACCCCACACCTTCCCCCTGGTCCCTGGGGTCCACCCTGCAGGGCTGACCATCGCTCGGGCCTCACTGCCTTTGCGAGGATTAAGTGAGGTCACTGGTGCAAACAGACCCCTCGGTGCCTCCGGACTTGATAAACGGTAGTAGTTATGCTGACACATATTTCTATTGGGCGCTTATTAGTGCTTAGTGCGCACAGGCCTTATTCTAAGTGCTTTGCAAATATTAGCTCCTTTAGTTTTCACAGCAACCCCAGCGGTATTATCGTGAAAGGAAACTGAGGCGCGGAGAGGGTGACTACGGTGTCCAAGTCACCCAGGCAGTCCGCGGGGAATCCGCACCAGGAACCCCAACTCACAGGTCGCCCCCAGCAGCCCGCGTGGCCGTTTCTAATCACAGGACACGCACTTCATACCCGCGTGCGGCCCGGTCCGCACCCGCGGCGGGAGAGGAGCAGGG